ACTTTTGGCATTTTACATTTAAAATACAGTGTTATTAATATATTACAAACAATCACTTTCCGTGAAGGGAGATTCTTTGCCACCCAATATTATATATCATTCACTATGTTTACTTTCACTCTATATACATTTTACTCCCATGTGTATGTTCTATTCAGGATTTTTATGAGAACACGTGGAGGAATAAATCATGAGATTTGTCCATTTAATCAGCAACTTTGTGGTTGATATGGAATACTGAAGTTGACTGAGGTTGATTAAATTAGGAGACTGAGTGCTTAGATATTTGGGGAAAGTACTGCTGTGTAATTAGGATTTAGATTAGTGAAAAATAAGAGATGCTATGAAAGGAAGTACATTAAATACAATGTCCATAATTTTGTTAAACTAAATATGATTGCTGAAAGCTTTTATGAAAATTTAAAAATATATTTTTAAAATTTTCAATAGTTGCTGATTGCATTAACTATTAATTTGCTTCTGCTCTGTTTTAGAGACAGTCTCCTCATAAGGTAATACAAGCTAACCTGGATCTCAGAACAACAGAACACTCTTCATATGTCATTAACAGTGTTAGGAATATGATAGGGTCCACCATATCCTTCTATAATAATATTATGATGACAAGAAGAACAGGTATTGCATATACTTCTCTTCATCTTTAACTCAATGTACATGAGCAATGATTTCTCAATTACTATGGTGTGCTAAGTACTAACAAATAATAATAATTCATGGAATAGACTGCCATGTCCCACCTGGCTTGGCTTCCATAATCCTAGCTAGAAGCAACGAACAAATAAAGAACAGATAGTCATGTAGAAGCATCTAAAATGAGCTCATTCATGGTTCTTTAACCATGACAGCTCAGAACCTCAGCCCATTTATTAGGTAAAGCACATGGCAGGAATTAGCTAATCTCAATAAGAAGTCTCTGTAGCTTAGCAGTCTATAAACATCCAGAGGGAGAGTAGCTATAGTTGCTAGTCTCTTCACATTGTGATCAATCATCCATCAGAATTAACAATTCAACTCCCAGGGAAATCACTTTCATACCTTTTGAGATGGACCAGAATGGTATTGGTTTTACAAATTTACAACAGCCTATTGATCTCAGAGTGGTTGACAGGTCTTGTGTCAAAATACACATTCACAGACAAAGGACCTCATTAACTCTGTTTTTCCTAATTTCCCTACAGAGGACAAATCCCATATGCATGGGGTTGTGGTCTAAATTGTTTATATGAAAATATAAACTTGTCATACTTACTGTGTCACATGATGGTCTTTCTTAAGATATAATAAGAACAGGAACATAAATTTGTAGACATGTACTGGTAAATTGGGATGGTAAGTATATTTTATTTTATATGATTTATTTAAACAAATTAACATTAGATAAGCATATAAGAAATATAACAAACCAATTGCCACCACCAAATCAAATTGCTAAAGAGTAGACACTACTCTGAAGGTCACAGTCCTTGGAAATGATTACACTCCGTTATGACTGACCCTAAAAAAATGTGACATGAAGGCCATTTGCGGTGAATCAGGAAAGACTATATGTGCAGCAAATGTAATTATGACAGAATGATGGAGTAGGCAAAGAGAGAAAATAGTTAAGACACAAAAGAAGGAAGAGGAGGGGGGAGAAGGGAGTAGAGAAGGAGGTAGAATATGAGAGCATGGGGGAGGAGCAAGAGATAGTAGTAGTTGGGGGATTAAAATCATATGAGACTATGGGGAGAAGGACAAGGGAAAGGAACAGGAGATGGTAGCAGGATTTAAAATCATACTCAAATGAGAGACACTGATGTCTTTGGCTGAATAGGTTCTGGAGAGAATTTAGCACTAGGATGTTATAAACAGCTGTAAAGAGCGAAGCTAATGTATTCAGACATGATTGACTGTTCTACAACAAAAGAGGCAAGTAGACTGAATATGGTGGAAACCGTGATGTGAGAGAATGTAGGAAGGAATGATAAGAGTATAGGAAAAATAATGGAGGAACAATTAAACAGAGAAAACCTGAAACCCAGGCCCTTCTGTGAAAAGCAGAAAAAAGAGAAATTCTTTTAAGAACTGACATTTTATCTAGTATCTCATAGTTTTAGACCATTACTCTATCTACAATTTGGCATATGTAAGTACTTTGATGATGCATTTATGTATATTCTCTTTTAATTAGTATTCATATTTAAATAGTTTAAATTTAATTTTAGATATAATTGTTTATAAACAGCTTGACTATTTAAAATAATACTTAAATGTATAGAAGTGTAATATTAAAATATTAAAATTAATAATGGGTTATAAGTAGGATAATTTTCATCAAATTTTATTTCTCCATAATCAAACTGAATATTTTTAAGTATTTAGAAAAAAGAAGAGTAAAGAAAAAAACAATTGTCATTTTTGCAATTTTAAGATTCTTATATATTCCAATTTATATGTATATATATGTATATATTATAACATTACAGTGAACAATAATTTTCACACCATCCTTTGTGTGTATATTATACAAATGACATTATCACATTTAAAGTTGTTACAATGACCTATTTAGTCACATATAGGGCCTTTCAGTTCTGATATTCATGGTATACACTTTTATTCATATCATTTAAATATATTATCCAAAATATAATTTATAATTTGCCATTTATTCAATAATTGTTATTGGTTGCCTTCTCCAGGCTGGGAGAGATGACTCAGTTTTAAAAGCAAATATTGTTCTGCCAAAGACTAAACTTCTTTTTCCAATTCCCATCTCCTTTAATTCTGGCTCATGTGGTTGGGCTTTTCTTCTGGCTTCTGGTCATTCTGCTTATGTGCACAAACCAATCCACACACAAATAGCTCTAATCATTTTTATAAATTACATTATTTTACACAGGTCAATGATTTTAAGAAGTGAACTAAGGAAGTGCTGGAGAGATGGACTATTCATTAAGAGACTCTCTGCTTTTGCATAGGACCTCTGTTTGGTTCTAAGCATTCACAGCAACTGACTTACACTTGCCTATAACTATTTGCAGAAGCGGCAAACCCTCTGCACTGATGCACAAGCAGACAAGCAGGCATGCATGCATAAACATAAATGAAAAATAAATTAATAAAAATAAAGTTTTGTGTAAATATGAAGACAATTGACTTTTATTATTGCTAAAGTAGAAAAGAAAAGAAAGATAAGTCCAGAAAAAAATACGTTATCTTTGAAAACCCATTTACAGTTTATTATAACTGTGTTTCATTACAATGAAGATTACAGTTCTTCATTGACACTTTTTAGCAGTTTTCAGGATGATTATAAATTTTGTTAATTTTCTGGTGTCAGGTATGTAATGAGTCATGGTTAATTGAATTATCAATGTTATAAATCCAATAGGAAAAATGAGGCACTTTGCATTCAAGACTACTTCAGTTTTATGCAATAAAAAGATTAGCTGAAAATTTTATTTGTTTTTCAATTTCTCATATGTTAAATTTAAGCAATCATCACAGTTTACATATAATTTTAAAAGATTCATAATTCAAGCTATGACATTCTCTATCATGTTTCCTTCTTTGCTCTTTTTTGTTATTATTGGTATTATATTTCTGCGTGGGTTGTGATATCATATCATACATTTTGGAGTCATTTTTACACTCACTTTGAGAAGAGCATACTTAGCTTCTTCTAGTCTTTAAATTACAGTGTGTGGGGCTGGAGAGATGGCTCAGTGGTTAAGAGCACTTGTGCTCTTCAAGAGGACCTGATAATCTGAGTTCATTTCCCAGCAACCACACGGTGGATTACAACTATCGAAAATAGGATCTAATGCCATCTTCTAGAATGCAGACATACATGCAGAGTATTCACACACAAGATATAAATAAATAAATAAATTTAAAAACTAAATTATGGTGCTTGTGTATGTGTGAGTGTGCATATGGTGTTGGAATACACACGTAGGTCAGAGGGCAATTTGCAAACTGAGTTTTCTCTTTCCACCATGTGAATTCTGTGACTCCAATTCAGGTTCCCAAGCTTGGTTGTAGTTCCTTTACTCACAGAGTCATCTCTCTGGCTCAAATATACAATCAATATTTTTGGACAATTTATGCAGTTTCTTGTAATTTCAGTTCGTTTACAAACTACTAATTCTCACTGGTAATTGTATTAGTAATAGTAACTATATTGTGTCTAAGTCATCACTTTTCCAATTACAAGTTTGAGTGTTTGTTTTGGTCCAAATAATTCAGAGCAAACACAGAATTTATTTTCTTTTCATATCTGTCATATATAACAGTCTTTCCATTTATCACATTTTGTACAAACACAAACATATACACACAAACATATAAATATATGTATATTGTTATATTTGTATTTATATATGAGTATATTATGTATGTGTATAGATATAAAATTTTTATATTTACAAAATATTGTTCAAACGTCTCTCAGTTCATCTTTAATGTGGTCACATGATTAAAACACATGCTGCTTGCCAGTTTTGTCTCAATGAATGTTCAGTGTTTCCTGTTCTTGGCTTCTGTTCATAAGTCTGTCACAAAATGAAACTCACCCTACAACTGTCTTCATACATATGCAAAGACCTTAGCTCTAGTCAAAATTATAATTTTATATAATACTTTGAAATTTTTAATAAATCCTATAAGGTGTCGCCTTGTCAAACTATAATGTATATGAATGTGAACCAGTATGTAATAGGTTTGAAGATTACTGTATTCAGAACTGTAGATAATGAAAACACTCTGTTCTTTTTTTGCTGTGGAATTTCAGATAAGAGTCCTCATAAGGAGCAGAGATAAAAGGAGAAAGCAAGAAATAATTCAAATGCAGAAAGCAATGCACTTCTCTGCTGCAGTTCTCAATAGTGTTATATATAGAAATAAGATCAGTCATTGTTTTTGAGCTTGCTAAATAAAACTGGACTGCTGGAATGGCATGCCACTTGACCTCTCGGGGCCACCGCAGCAGTATTTAACTGCTGCAAAGGGAGCACTCTTGCAAGTGTCTCCTGTTTACATGCCAGATTCCCCTGCTAGTTCACACAATGTTCAAAAGGCACAAGTCCCAGGAACGCAAGAGGGAATTATTTCAGGGACTTCCACAGTCCACACTGAAGAATAGTATGAGAAATTTCCACTCTTTGTCACAACTTGTCCTCTCAGCAGGCCCGCTAAGAACAACTCGAGCAGTCAAACTTTCAAAAACAACTCACTTTGAGATTGAAATACTGGATGCTCATACAAGAAAACAGATATGTATTTTGGATAAGGTAAGCTTTATGTATCTTTTAAAATGTTTCGTATTAGGCACAAAATTACTGAATTCTTATTTACCTGACAGAACTTTGCTAAATGCGTTTCTAATTTTTAACTTATTTTTTGAGTGAACAAGGAGATGTCTTACCTACTGTTACAGCAGGAAACATTTGCTGCATTTTCATATGTATTTAAAAAATAAACCTTTTAATTAATATTTTACTTCGTTTCTTGTTGTGTTGCCTCATAATTCAGAAGTAAAACATTCAGAATGAAACACAGATTGTGTAAAAAGTATCCTCTTCTTGATTTTATAGCAATAAAATGTACATCATTTCACAGTGTTTATTTAAAAAAGGAAGTAAAAAAATCCCAAAAGTTAAAAAGTATTTATCATGTATCTAAACTATAGGCCTTTTATTATATTGTTTTGAGTTGTTTATGTTTCTAAAAATTTCACCTTTTTAAAGCATAGTCTTGAAGTTCTCAGGGAGTAGAGCTGATTTAACGAACCATCTTTCTGTATCTGCACACATAGATGTTTAAAAATGAATAATGAAACCTGAATGTGCTAGATTAGAAAATTGTGGTATGAACATTAGAGATGTCAGCACATGAATCACATGTCAATATTCTTCTTTTAACTTAAGTCAATAATTTTAATTTATTTTGTTCTATAGAAACCCAAATGTGTGTTGTTTGTCTAAACAAATATCCAAACAATTACTCCACTGAAACATGTTGTAAGTGCTAGATAAACACTGGTGCTCTTGATAGCTTTCTAAAACAACATATAGTTTCAAACTTAGTAACTGTAATATTATCGGTAACTTACTAGTTGAACAAAATGATTTACTTTTAGGTACAAAATAAATGTTAAGATGTTACATTTTAACTCAGGTCACAAGTAACACTGAGGAGATTCCAATAATCTATTTGTGTATAATTGCAAATAATATGCATGTATATTTCTGTAACTGATGAATATATTTTATAAAAATGAATATATTAATATATTTGTTTGCTTTTTGAAAAATGCTGTCAAGAATAGAAACCTGTTAAAACTTTGAGCCTTTCAGAGACAGCCGATGTTTGCAATATTTTACTATAAAAATGTCATGCATAAAAAGTGCAGAAGAGAGAACAGAGCAACGAACAAGAGGAAAGGGGATAAATTACGGATTTATACCTTAAAATAATAAGAAATTAAATACTCGCTAATTATTGCTTTCATGCATAATATTTTCTTTGAGGGAATGAGAATAGATTTCACTTGCATAATGTTAAATTTAAAAATAACCAGAATGCCACTTTCTTATCATTTTCACACTTCAACTGTAAAACTCCTGGAGTTGCCTCTGTAGTAGTAAGATTTAATAGAAACAACTGTACTAATAAGGGGTTGACTTTGCATTCCTCACTGTGCTGATTTTATTTTCTGCCCTCTACACCCATTGTCCACCGTTCTCTTCCTTCCCTATGGAAGATGCAGCCTAGATAACAGTGCCTGCTATGTCAGCCACCTACTACAAGCTGCCACACCCCCTCATGTTGCACAATTTTGACATACTAAATTAAATCGCTGGCTTTACATTGAGGAATTTCATTTTGTTTGTTATGTTTGGTTTGTTTTACTCAATAATTTGGTGAATATTCCTTAATGATGGAGGTGCACAAGAGAAAAGGAAGGGGATGGATGTGCATTTTTGATTCTTCTTTAAAAATTTCCAGTAGTTTGAAATTTTAATCATAATAAAGACTTATTTTTGTGTGTTAGTTTTGTTTACACTTATTGAATTTCTCCTGAAAATTATGGGGTAAATATGAAGTGTCCCATTTCTCTTACTACTTTCATCAAGTGTTCATAATGTCATGCTCAATGCTCCTCTTATTTGATACAAGATATTTCATCCGGGTCTTTATCTTCTTCACTTCTCAGAATTGGAACTTGCTGAATCACCAATGCCACAGTGGCAAAGACTACAGTATCCCAAACCCCACTGCTATAGTGTCACAGTGGATTTGCAGCATGTCCCGTTATTAATCACTTAGAAACTTCCTCAAGATGCTTGTGTTGAATTACAAAACCCACACATCCCTATAATATCTTTGGCTATTTCTTTTGATCTCTGATAATTCATCATCATCTGACTTATTAGGTATTTATGATAAAACCCATCATCTGTTTGTCTGTTTCTCATAATTGTCATCTCCATCATCTTCTATCTGTGTCTTTTATAGTATAACTGAAGCTGAAAATGTATGTGACTTTTTGAATAGTTCCTTAAACATAATATGGACTAAATTCTTTTTAATTATACTCATGATTTAGAAAGACAAAGTTTATGCATATAAATTCAAAAATAGGCTAATGGTTTCAATTTTATTGCTGTTTATGATTTGGCATTACTTTGGATACCTTTAGTTTAAAATTAGTATTTTCAAATACCACAAGAGGACTCTATGTTATCTCCCACTAATTAGCTTCCATAGAGATCACCAAGTTTGTAAATGGAAACTATCCTTCAAATAACTCTCCAGATACTCATGGAAGTCATGACTCATCTCCTAATCTTATGCTCCACACACAATCCATCTTCTTGACAATACCTTCAAGTATACCCAGGCACTGACAAATCCCTGCCACTTCTACTCTGAGCATGCTTACATATTCACCCTGGGTTGTCATTATCACCTACAGTGTTTTCCCTACATGGCAACCAGAGCCTAGCTGTTAAATTGTGTCAGATAATGCACTCCACCTGGCATCTAGGCCATGCCTTCCTTTGGTTTTTAAAGGTCGCATTTTCCAACAGGCTGTTACTGACTGTTGAATCTTCAATGCATGCCAACACAATTTTTTCTTTCCTGTTTTCTAAATCTGTTACTATACAACACTGCTTTTATTTTCTTGTGTTATTTGGTTTGACTGTGATATGTCAGATTCACAAACCCAGAGGTTTTATTGTTTTTTTTTTCAATTCAACATCTTCTGCATTTAAATCAACGTTTGGCACAATTTTAGTCAATATGTGTTTGGTAAATGACACCTGTTCAAAATGAAAGCCTGGATATTTCTATCCTATTCTGATGTTTAAAGTGATAGTTTAAAATCAGAGTGGCATAACCAAAAGATAAACACTTTCCATTGTCTAAATCAAGCTCTAAGTAAATGTAAATCTACTCCCACACAAAGACATTGCTTTCATCATTCCATTAAATGAAGGATTTTTTCTTATTTTTCCCATAAATGCTTTTACATATAATTTATATTTAAATTACACTATAATTAATCAATAGACAACTTTATTTTGATGGAGAAGGCTATATTAATTTTAATGAATGCCCCTACATATTTTTATTTAGCTAAGGAACTTTATGAATGACCAAAATAATAGAACAAATTGATAATGATACAATGAAATATTTTATAATAAACTGTTATTTCTAAGAGATTATTGGGATATCAAAATACAAAAGCTGACATGAAAATATATTTCAAGGAAATAGTGAATTATTAACATTTAGCTCCTACCATTGTCTCCTGTATTTACAAATATCAAAAGCTTATCTGATGGTAAGTCACATATTCAAGAGGAAAGCAAGACCCAAAAAACTGCAAGTGATAAATATTCCTGTATTATCCCATTCTATTTTATTTTATCTTTTTTCAAAAGAAAATGAGGTCCCAATCTCTTATTCTTTTGTTTATTTTTTGTCCCAACAGAACCTTTCTAAAGAGTTCATAGAAAGAAAGCTCTAAGCTCCCACCCCACAAGCACACACCACAACAATAGTTCATATATGAGCTACTGTTACAGAACAGCAGAGATAATCATTGAATTAGATCATCTTAAAAGTGTCTGTAAATCATACTAAGAAATTCTGAAAATTCTGAACTGTGGATAGCATCACCTCAAATACTTCATGCAAATTATAACCAGCATGTTGGTTTCTGAAGTTACTATGCTCTAAATTGGATATGACATTTCCCTACTTTGATACTGACTTTGTGTGTGTGTGTGTGTGTGTGTGTGTGTGTGTGTGTATGTGTGTACTTCACATTACTGCCACTAAAATATTGTTGTTTCTTTTCATCCATCTTTATCAGTATCCCCAGGCTCCTCCCTGTTTCTTCCACACTTCATCACTTCTACACTGAGAGAGTGTTTTTTAACATAATATTGTCCATCATTTCTTATTCCCATACAAAAAAATCACCATTTACCACTTATAGTATAAGAAACACTCAAATATGGGCTTCCCTTCCTATTTTTACATATGAGAAATAAGGAACCATCAATTAAAATGTAAACATGAATAAAGCACAGACCTTAAATCAGTTAACAATAAATTCAGGCTTAACATTCCTTCAAGTTTTTAACGGAAAATATATTCTTCTCTTACACAACACATTCCAACCATATTTTCCCTCCCTCCATGCCTCTCTCTCTGTTCTCCCCCACCTCCCCTTGCCCCCTTTCCACTCTCTCTTTCCATTTTCCTTCAGAAAACAGCAGGCCTCCAAGGAAAACAAACAAAGACAAAGGGACAAGATACAATAAGATAAGGCAAAAGTCCTAATACTGAGAGTGGACAAGGCAACTCAATGGTAGGAAAATGATTGAAAAGTATTTCCACCTTAAATTCCCCTTGTAATTTTATTGGAAAGATAATGCTAGTGTACATTCATGGGCACAATGGGCTGTTTTGATACGTATACAGACTGTGGAATTGTAGTGGATAATCGACTAATTAGTATATCTATTGCTACAAATGCTTATCATATTTTTATGTGGAGAAAATTTTAAAATCCTCTTTTAACTACTAGTTATTATTGAATATAGTCAGTTTTTTGTTTTTTGTTTTTGTTGTTTTTTCAAGACAGGGTTTCTCTGTATTGTTTTGGAGGCTGTCGGTCCAGCCTGGCCTCGAACTCACAGAGATCTGCCTGCCTCTGCCTCCCGAGTGCTGGGATTAAAGGCGTGCGCCACCACCGCCCGGCCCTATTGAA